ATATTATAATCAAGTGATATTAATCACTGAAAGTAATAATTTCTTTAAATTACTATATTTAAGTTGATTATTCATTTGTGAGCTAACCTAATATGTCCTGCTTTACTGGGACTTCCTTCCTAATTATTACTTAAAGTCAAAAATCTACAGTAGCCTGTAGATATGTTTTGCTATTCTCTAAGCTAAGCCGTATAACTTTACGATGTTAGCAAACCCAGATATCATTCGGTTCAATGAAACTTTCATAGAGGTACTGCGTTTTTTTTTGGTAATGACAAGGCACCTGCAGACAACACAAGTGACATCTAAAGCTGCATTTCATAGAATACTTGGATCTGGCACCCTGAAGACTGAAGCATCCTTCAGTTCAATCTTAGAAATGTGTTAAATTAGTATAGATAAGAAATTAGTAATTAATACCATCCATTTCACCTCACAAATCTTCCAAAATCTTTTCTGTTAACTCAAATGAGCTATTGGGATTGCATTTTTCAAATTTAAGTACTGATGTAGACAAGTGGATAGGTATAGGTGTATAGGTGCTGTTTCGTTACCGTCCTATTCATAGCAGTCTGGTGTCCTAATCAATGTCACTTTATTTGCAGTAGCCAAGTTAGATATAACTAAGCTTTAGATGGCCTCGAGTTTGTTGGTCTAGAATCGTTTGGACCTCAACTCAGGTAATTCAAAACTGTGTATTGATTATGTATTTTGGACTTAATATGTTATTAGTTTATATATTTGTAAAGTTGCGAATTTTATTTTAACAATAAGAAATCACAGTTGTGAAGAAAAGAGAGCCTTATCAGGATATGCTTACACCTTCAATCAAGAGATTTTGTATTGTACATTTTTATTAATTTTATTTAATTTTAATATTTATACTAGTGACGACATATGTCGTTTATCACACGAAAGCCTTCTGTAAATAAAGTTTAGTGCATACCACAGACAGACGTGAAATTTTTGTGTCACATATTTCTTCCTTGTGGACCCACTTCTCTGTTGCTATTACGACATTTACCATGTGTAACTATTTCCGCCTCTACGAATGGCGCTCCTTCTATTTTTCCTTTTTTCACAATACAAAAAATCCTTTGTGTTAAGTGTTACAGTCTCCAAGTCTGTGTTTCTTCTCGTCATTTTTGTTTTTTGTCGAGTATGAAAAATTGACATTGTTCCGTTTAACTGAGGACAATTAAGTCTTGTTTACTTTCTGCTTAAAAACAACAATGGCTGACATCGAATATGGATGTGTGCCAGTCAAATCAATATAGAAGAATATAGAAGAACAAAGAAGATAGGTCAAAGAAAAAAAAATAATTGTCTCACAGTCTAATGGGTTAAAAAACTTAAATAGTAGGTTTTCTACAAAAACTGCTCATACATTTATAAATTTTTTATAAGTAAACCTCTGCATTTGCAGAGTTTCTAATAAGCTAAGTATCTCATGACCTTAAATATTATCTACAATAATTTTTTCTGATTTTTATTGAAAGGGCACATTACTTACTGAATGAGAGATTATTGATTTTACATACTAAATTTATAAATCAAGGAATTTCATTTAAAAATGTTATTAATAATTTTTGGAATAAAATTTGTGTAATAAAACCACGGAACAGGTCACTGCCCACGACATTTTCTTTCATTACTTGGATAACATCTGAGCTTTCAGAAGCACAGAGAACGTATATGTGTGGGTACTTATCTGCTTGTATGTGTATATATCATATAAGGGAAGGGTACTCATATATTTATGTACATAATTTAGCTGTAATACAAAACTGTCTTTGGACAAATATCCTGGAGGCATGTGACGGATATGTTATGAGAATTGGTAGCACTATTTTAACCGCCTACAGTCGAAAGCAACAACACCTCTCAATCATGGCTCTGACACTCCAACTACTGCATACATTTGCCACATTTCATTTGTGCTCCACACTGCGGTTGTTCCATGCCTTCCAGCTAATGAAGTAAAAATACATTTCGTAATTATTTTCACTTTTTTTTTGTAATATTATTTTTCTTCTCTACAATCAAAGATGTCATTCTTTGTATGTCGTCAAGTTTGTGTCAGTATGTATTATATAAAATTAAATTTATTTGTCTGTAATATGTACACATCTTTATACTTAGTTGCAAACACATAACATTAAGAACCTAAATAGATACTTTCATATACAGGGTATTTGCTCACAGAGTAGTGTATGCTAAACAGTGATTCTTTAGTCCAAGGTACGAAAATAGTTGACTGAACAAAATTGGAATATATGACTTGAGCTATTTGGATCAAAACTTTTCAAGCTTTATTGAATAAACTTTGTCTTGATCTGCTATATTTGAAGTATTATTAAAAAAGATAATTGCCTTACCATGCAGTTTTGTACCTTGATTTGTGTCACTCAATCGACTTCTTAATACTCGTATATGTAACGTGTTAAGGAAACACCCTGTATAATAATTTACTTATCAATTTCTACAATGTACAAGCATTGTGTCACAAAATATAGTTTAGACTTTTCAAAAACGAGTCATTATTTAATGTATACATACATATATAACGACTGTATAAATAAATCTTTGTATATATAAATCTATTTTTGTAAGCTTTTGTTTATATTTTTAAGCCTTTTCAGTTTTTGTGTCTAAAATAGCAATTATTTTATTTTATTTTTGTTTGCCTGGGAAGATGCTTTTCTATTTTATTAATTTGCGGCTTTTGTGTAGCAATTTTATAATAATTGTTGATTTTTCTTAAATATACTTTATATTGAATTTCAGCAAAATTATTTTATTATTTTTACATCACATTTTTCAGCATTTATGAAACAATATTAAGATTTCTTCATGAATCCAAATTATTAAAATAATTTATTTTCTCTTCTATTTATTGTAATAAAATACTAACAAATAGACAAATGATTTCTTTTGGCATCACTCTGAAATTGAATTCATTAGTAAAAAATTCAAAGCATTTCAAAAACGTTCCAAAGGACCATCTGAAGCAGGCAGTACTTTTTAAAAATTGCTGTTTGTAGTGAGGCCCTCTATTGGTAAGGTAGATTCTCGT